ACGACACAGTCAGCAGCCTGGTCGCCGCGTGCCCCCTCCTCCACACCCTCGATTTGCGCTACTGCGAAGGCCTCGACTCCGTCAGCGTCGCGGCGGCCGGGGCGCACCTGAGTAGCCTCACCGTTGCAGAGTGCGATCCGTGCACCGACGTTGTTTTGGCCGATGAGGCATCCGGTCTGCGCTCATTCCGCTACAGCGGTGCCTACATGCCCGCCTACAGCATCCCGGCCACCATCACTAGTCTTGCTGACCTTTACATCTGCTTCGGAGCATCTAACCGCCGGCGACGCTTGTCAGGCACCAGAATCCGGTTTTATGGACAGGAGGCTCACGCTTGCGAGCTGCGCAGAAACTGGCTTCAACTACTAACCAGTCTGTCCAACCTCACCGTGCTTACCCTCTGCAGCAGTATCCTACGGGTTCGTCGCTCTCTGCATTTCATGCCATCCGGTTGATCCCAATACTCACTTACTGTCTTACGGATAACCTTCTTCATTGCTATGCTTTGCAGAGACTGTCTGCCAAAGCTCGTGCCAGATTAGCTGCCACAGGCGCTGCACCATGCAAATTGCTGAATTTGAGAGAGCTTCAGCTACTGATGTTCGAAGTGGAGATCAACAACATGAACGACATTTACTCTTTCCTTGTGGCATGCTGTGGCCCTCGTTTGGAGAGGCTATTTGTGCAGGTGAACACTAGCTGTTATATATTCCATTGCCTGATAACCTTTGTTGATGAACTGTTAATTTTTTTTGTCTTGTGACCTTGACAAATGCATTCAGTTATTAGTCATTGTATTGTTGCTTGCGCTTGACATTCTTACTTATTTTGAATGCTTACTACACCCCCTTGCAGCTTCCGACAATCAATTATCCATATGAGCCAGAGGATGAACCATCAGGATCAGAGTCAGAGGAATTTGGATCAATGGGAGAGCTATCATACCAAGAGGCACATGGGGAAGGTGAGCTGGATGACGACTTGTCAGAAGGAGAAGCAACAGAGAAAGATGGGCTAGAGGAACAGCTGTCAGAGGGAGATGCCCTGGAGGAAGATGAGATAGAGGAAGAGTTGTCAGAGGGAGAAGAACTAGAGGAAGAGCTTTCAGAGGGAAATGAACTAGTGGAAGAGTTGTCAGGGGGAGAGCCACCTGAGGAAAAGCAATCACAGAAACAGGGGTCAATGGAAGAGCAATCTGATGGAGGGCAATCAGAGGAAGAGACACTAGAGCACGGCGATGTCTTTGAGAACCTTATGTTGCTCAAAATGATGAATTTCATGGGACGCGACAATGAGATGCAGCTAGTAAGCCTTGTGTTGAAGAAGGCTACTAGTCTCAAGCAACTGATACTATTTACTCCCAAGATTAATCACCCAGAAGAGCTCCACAAGGATCATATGAATACTTCCCATTTGCTTGAAAGAAAACTATTTTCTCTCAGAAGGGCCTCGCCAAATGCTCAGATAGTTCTCAGCGAGCCTGATGATAGTGCAGTCCAGCCGTTGCATGAGGCTTTAGTCAAGATTTACTGATTTTTGTTGTTGTGGAGTTATGATCGGATAATGTGAAATATCAGAAACTAGCAACCATTAGGTAAGACAAAGAACAAGCTAATCTGCAAGGTAGGCAGGATGCTGTGTTCTCTAGTCCATGAAGGATCATGGAGTATGTTGTCTGGGCCTTATATCCTTAGATCCTTAAGACTATAAAAAATACCATGATTACCCAGTATCTACATTGGCCTGTTGCCTTGTTGTTGGATAAGAAAGTCCTGCAAAAACACTGTAGAAAGCTGAGACTTGTTACGCTCTATCTTTGTGCTCGTCAATTCGCATTAGTACCGCAGTAGTTCAATCAGTTGGTACGAGTGTTGCATTTGTTTTTCATTTGTCATTATTGTCATCTTTATTACTGATTAAAGTTCTTTTCCTGGTATCAAGAGAAGAACATAAACATGTACAGTTATATGGAGTTTCAACAGGCATCAATCCTGGAAACTGTACCCTAATGGTGTTAGCTGAGGCCAAATTATGTACTACCTAGAATCAGAGGAAAATGGGTCAATGCAAGAGTTATCATAGGAAGAGGTACCGGAGGAAGATGAGCTGGGTGAAGACTTGTCAGAAGGAGCAGAACTGGAGAAAGATACGCTAGAGGAAGAGCGCAGATGCTCTGGAGGAAGATGAGCTAGAGGAAGAGCTGACAGAGGGAGATGAACTAGAGGGAGCTGTCAGAGGGAAATGAACTAGAGGAGTTGTCAGGGGGGGAGCCTCCTGAGGAAAAGCAATTACAGAAACAGGGGTTAGAGGAACAGGGGTCAATGGAAGAGCTATTTGATAGAGGGCAATCAGAGGGAGAGACACTAGAGGATCACGATGGCTTTGAGAACTTTATGTTGCTCAATATGATGAATTTCATGGGGCGCAACAATGAGATGCAGCTGTAAGCCTTGTGGTGAAAAGGTCTACTAGTCTCAAGCAACTGACACTATTTACTCTCAAGATTAATCACCTAGAAGAGCTCCAGAAGGAACATACGAATACTTGCCATTTTCTTGAAAGAAAACACTATGGTCTCTCAGAAAGGCCTCACCAAATGCTCACATAGTTCTCGGCGAGCCTGATGATAGTGCAATCCAGCCGTTGCAAGAGGCTTTCGTCAAGATTTACTGATTTTTTGTTGTCGTGGAGTTATGATCGGATAATGTGAAATATCAGAAACTGGCAATCATTAGGTAAGACAAGGAACAAGCTAATCTGCAAGGTAGGCGGGATGCTATGTTCTGCAGTCCATGAAGGATCATGGAGTATGTCGTCTGTGCCTTCTATTTTGCGGGTTAACTCTTTAAGACTCTTATAAAAAATATCATGATTACCCAGTGTCTACACTAGCCTGTTGCCTTGTTGGTGGACAAGAAAGTCTTACAAAAACAATTTAGAAGGCTGAGACTTATTGTGCTCTATCTCTGCTGTTCAATTTGCATTTAGTACAGCAGTACTTTAATCAGCTGGTACAACAACGAGTGGTGCAATTTTATCTATTTTTCAGTTCTCCTTATGTATTACTGTCAGTATTGCCCATCTTCATTGCCGATTAAAAGTTATTTTGCTGGTGCCAGTAGAAAATCTAAAACATGTACAGTAATATGGAATTTCCACAGGCATGAATCCTGGGAACTGTACCCTAATTTTGGTAGTTGGTGCCAAATTATGTACTGCTGATATGTTTGATCAGATGTTGACTTGTCTGTCACTTGTCTGAATCTGAAATTCTGAATATGTGTCACTTTCTACGTGTGCTCTACTGGAAACTCAGTTTAGCCTGCCACTTGTGTAAAATCCTCGAACATATGACTGCAGGACAAGTTCTTTGTAGCATGTCTTGTACTGTAAATTCAGTTGAGCCTGTCACCGGTGTGACGGAAGAATTTGTGGCTGGTGACAGCATCAGGCCATGTCATGTTTGCCTACCTATGTTGTGCGTCAGGCCAAGCGTCTCTAAATAACCATCATTTGGTGCCTTGCTGGTGTGGTCATCATGTATAAATACGCAACATAGTGGAGTTGTCGGTGTTGGTTGGTTGTGTGCTGTTGTGGGTCAGAGCCTGTGCACCAGATCCAAAGGAAGTTACCAAGGCACCAGACCTTTACCCCTCAGATTTTGCAAGATAGGCTGGGTGTTCAGTTCTGTAATTGACGAAGATCTTTTTGATCCAGTTTCTTATTAATCAACATTGTTGCCTTATTGGTGTTTTGCCTGGAACGAAGTGGTCATAATTCAGTGCAATAGCTGGGGAACAAGGCCGTATGAATATAGTGTAGTAGGTTGAGACTTGAGACTTGAGACTTGCTATGCTTTTTTTTCTTTTTTTTTGTTGCTCTCAACAATCTTCATTTAGTACAGCATTGCAGTGATCAGCTGGAAGATCAGCAACAGTTTACAGTGTTATGTTTTCCCACTTTTTCCTTGTGCATTGTCCTAGCATCTTCATTACTGCTTTTAAGAGTTTATTACTCCCTTTTAGGCATGAGAAAAACTAAACCATGTAGTACAACAGTATGTGGTTCAACAGGAATGAATCCTGGAAACTGTACCTTTTAGGCCAAATTCTTCTTGTATATATATCTATTGTCAGATGTCGACTTGCCTGTCATTCTCTGCATCTGAAAAGATCTGAACATGTGTCCCTCTGTACACGGGCTGTCACTGTAAATAAGTTCAGCATAGCCTGCCACTTGTGTACGTATTTTCATAAAACATCTGACCACGGCAGAATTTGTAGCTAGTGGCAGCATCAAGTGGTAAGCATGTCTTTTTTAGGGGGGATGTGCTAAGCATGTTACTTTTGCTTGCTTATTATGTCAGGTCAAACCACTCAAGATCTAATTAACCATCATCAGTGGTGCCTTGCTGGTGTGGTGATCGTGTATATATGAATAAAGATAGAGAAAGAAACATGATGCAGTGGTCACTGGCGGTGGTGTGCTGGTGTGGGTCAGCGCATGTGCACCAGATCAGATCCAGACGAAGTTACCAAGGAACCGATCAATCAGATCTTATCCCCAGAGTGTGGAGGTTGATAATCATTTGATTTGTGCAAAGACCGGTGAGCATTGCCATTGCCCAGCGGCCAGGTAAAGAGCAGAGCAGGTAGGCAGTTGGCCTGTTGCCCTCCACATCGCTTTCGATCTCCAGTCCTGCTTCGTTAAGTTTCAGTCGATTCTATATCCGTGAGACCTTACGTTTAAATCCGTGCAAATTTTTATTTTAGTTTTCTTTTTTGCATGTTATATCACTTGACTGGATCTTTTTTCTTATTTTTCTTGTATGTTATATCACTTGACTGGTTGTGGTTAAATCTGACTGAGACCTAGCCACACCCTTCAATCTTTTACCTATCTATAGACTATAGTACTGCACTAGTACCTGACCTGATCAGCCTGATTTGGATTTAGCAGTGAGGCTGAGCTGAGAGGTCTGGGGCAGCGGAGGAAGCAGGATGGGCTTCTCCTTCTTCGCCTCTCGCGCTGCCGCCAGGTTCCTGGAGGACATCCGGCGCCCCTCCTCCGCCGGCGTCTCCACCGCGGCGCTCCTCCTCACGGCCGCCAGGTGCGTCCCCCACCCCCGATCCCCCATGCCCCCTCTAAAGTTCTTCCATTTCTTTTCCCCTTTCGTTGCGTGATGATGGTGATCCACTGTTCCTCGCCGCCCCTTTTGTCTGCTTTACCCTCTCTCTTTTTGTTCTTTCTCGTAGCTGCGTCCTTGGTCTAGCACTCTAGAATCTAGATAATCTTGGTCAACAGGGAGGTGATGTTCATGGAGTGGACATCCATCCATCCGTCCGATGTACTACTCCATGAACAGACACCATCCCCTGTACTTCATGAACAGTCCCTTTTTGTCTGAATTTTTGTCCCCAAAATCCACCACTGTTCTTCCGGATCGAGGTGGCTGGCCGCATTTGCGAGCCTCAGAGATTTTCTTCACTGGCTTTGCAGCGGCGGAGGCATTGTGGCCTATGCCGACTCCGCCAGGGCGGAGGAGGCTCCGGAGCCACCGCCCAGGAAGAAGAAGGTGGTGGTGCTCGGCACCGGCTGGGCCGGCACCTCCTTCCTCAAGAACCTCGACTCCTCCCGCTACGAGGTGAAGGTCATCTCGCCCCGCAACTACTTCGCGTTCACGCCCCTGCTGCCCAGCGTCACCTGCGGCACCGTGGAGGCGCGCAGCGTCGTCGAGCCGATACGGAGGATGTTCGAGAAGGTAACACCGTGGCTGCTGAACTGATGCTCTTGTGGTTGGTGTTATGCAGAGCTGTGGAGTAACACAGTGGCTGCCTCTCTCGCTCTTCTTTTTTGCAGAAGGGGAAAGATGTCGCGTATTATGAAGCAGAGTGCTTCAAAATCGATCCGACGAAGAAAGCCGTCCACTGCCGCTCTGCTGTTGGTACCAATTTGGATGGGAATGGCGATTTCATGGTTGATTATGATTACTTGGTCGTCGCTCTTGGGGCTACTGTCAATACATTTAACACTCCTGGTGTGATGGAGCATTGCCACTTTCTGAAGGTAAAATCCTGTGCAGCATTGTGTGTGTCTTTACTGTTCTGCTTTTTCTCATGTTTCAGTCCTGAGATGTAAGTTATTCTGTGTAATGTTCTGCAACATCTTCAGATATATTGTACTGTAAAGTATTAGGAAATTTACATTCATGGTCATGGGACTGTTAGCCATATCTTGTACTTACAGCCTCACGTTGTAAAAGCCAGGAAGTGGAGGATGCCCAAAAGATTCGGAAGAGTGTGATAGACTGCTTTGAAAGGGCGTCAATTCCTAACATCAGCGAAGAGGAGAAAAGGAAGATCCTTCACTTTGTGATTATTGGTGGTGGACCTACTGGGGTTGAATTTGCTGCGGAGTTGCATGATTTTCTTGTCGAAGATCTGGTGAAGCTATATCCTGCAATTGAACAATTTGTGAAGATAACAATTATTCAATCAGGAGAACATATATTGAATACGTAAGTTGGCACTAAATTACCATATAATGAGGGTCGAACAATCCTGCAGTAATAGCCATGATTCACTTCCATTGCTAAGAATATGTCAGGTTCTCATCGCTAAGAATATGTTTTGGTATGCATAAAAAGCCTCCAGGGGAATTAATGTATCGGTATGTCAGTCTTCCTTCCCAGATAATGAGGATTGTACGGCTGGTTCACATCCAGCAGACTGGAAGTTGCATGCTGCAAGTAGTGAGCTCCCCAGCTAATCTTCTCCTGGATAATTCTCAAATACTCTCAGGAAAAAGTGAATAACAATTGGGGATATTTTCCATGTTTAGGAAAACAATTTAGTCACTAGAAGTGGAAAATATATCCCAGTCACTGATTCCAGGGTAGATGATAGACCAAAACCACCTTACCCCCAAGCAATGCCAGTGTAAGATTAATTCTTACCAAATGTTGTTAGTAGTTTTTGGATTGTGGCGGTTTCTTCCGTGTTATTCCCCCCTTCCTTTTCTTTTAAAAATGAATGTTCCTAACTGCTATGAAATTATCACGCTTACTGTAGACATTGCGATTTTATTGGGGAATTGGACGTTTTGTTGATTTGTCAAGAGAAAAAAATTGCCCACTGGTTCAATATACATGCCTTTGTTTGTAGCTTCAGTAGATCTTCCCTTTTCTCCATGTTTACTGTGAGATGATATATATCTATTTCATTCATGTAGGTTTGACCAAAGGATAGCTGTGTTTGCTGAATCAAAGTTCCAAAGAGATGGCATCGAGTTGAGTACAGGATTCAGAGTGATAAAGGTCTCCGATGATTCAATTACAGTGAAGTGCAAATCATCTGGTGTAGAAACATTGGTGCCGTATGGGATGGCTGTTTGGTCTGCTGGCATTGGTACTCGCCCCGTCATTACAGACTTCATGAGTCAAGTTGGTCAGGTTGTTAAATCTGAATCAAAGTCGTGTGTTCAGGTTACCGAGTTATGCTTAACTTCTAACATTTTGTTGATGAATGCAAATGTTCTCTCTTTCAACAGGGCAAACGACGTGCCTTGGCAACTAATGAATGGTTAAGAGTTCCTGAGTGTGATAGTGTCTATGCAATTGGTGACTGTTCTTCAATAAGTCAAAGGAAAATAATGGTATATGTAAAGCATTTCATAAATATTTTTGCACCCTCTTTGCGTTTTCGAACTTCCTAGGCGGAGATATCATAGGAACAGCTACACACACCGCACCTCAGAATTATCACTGCACTGTTATGGTTTCTTGGTAGATCTGTCATCGGTGTCAAATTAGTCATTCTATTGGTATGCGTGTATGTTCCAGTTTCCTCTGTGTAAGTATAACAAAGTTTATCACGCTGAATAAACAAGCACACTGAACATCTAAGTTAGCAAAGTCCAGTGCATGTTTCATCCTCCTTCTGACTCGTTTGCTTTTGTTTCTTTCAGGAGGACATTTCAACAATATTTAAAGTAGCAGACAAGGATAACTCTGGCACCTTGACACTGAAAGAAATAAACGATGTTCTAGAAGATATTTGTATAAGATACCCTCAAGTAGAACTGTATATGAAAAGTATGCACATGGTTGACATTGCTGATTTGATAAAAGGTGGCGTAGGTGATTCCAACAAGGAGTCGATGGTGGTTAACATAGAGGAGTTCAAAAAAGCTCTGTCTCATGTCGACTCCCAAGTTAAAACTGTTCCGGCGACTGCTCAGGTTGTCTCTATTTCCAGAGAATACATGGGTTGATGATATTTTAGAATAGATAATGTTTTGATCCGTGAACAACCCATTTGTGTTTGTGCGGATACTCCCTCATTGTTTCTCTGATATTTGCCAGGTTGCTGCGCAACAAGGGTATTATCTTGCTGACTGCTTTAACAAAAAGGATCACTGCGTAGAGCATCCAGAAGGTCCGTTGCGCCTGACGGGGTCAGGGGAAGGGCATCACAATTTCCGCCCATTCCGGTATTTAGCTTTCCGTTACAGCTGTACTTGTACCCTCATACTCACATCTTCTTTTAGGCCTGAAAGGCATAACCTGTACTTAAAACTTTGCACAGCTTTGGGGACACATCATGACTCTAGGTAGTAATCAATTGCTGTCAGTAACACCTACTTGGATAGGAGTGGTCTGTACCTAAAATTGCTTAATAAACACTGTTAAATATGTACAGTTGCTCTTTCAATTATGCAGCATTCAACAATTAGGAAATTAGCAATATGGTTACCTAAAACCCTCTCGGTTTCTGGTTACCATACTTAAACCTATTATCTCCATGGCACCTTTCTAGGAAGAACATGCTTCAGTTGCTATATGGTTATCCTTTGGCTTCAAAGCAACCTAGGTTTGATTCATTACTAGAGCAGTGCCAGACTCTTTCTTCACAAACTTTCCCAGTGGGAAGACTGGGAGGGAGTTGTGGCTAGCTTCATTTTGATCATCAGCTCTTGCGTCATTATCTTATACACTTGCTCATCTTTTGCCCTGGCATTCAAGGTACAAGCATCTTGGGCAATTCGCGCCCTTGGGCGGGGAGCAAGCCGCGGCAGAGCTCCCGGGCGACTGGGTCTCCATGGGCCACAGCACCCAGTGGCTCTGGTACTCCGTTTACGCAAGGTAAGAACCATGACTGACCCATCACCATCACTATCCACCACTCTGTCCGAAGGAAGAAACCATGGAACCACCTTATCCACCTTATCTTCTCCCTGAGTCGTTCAGCCGCAAAAATTGAGATCATCCCTTTCCATGCATGAATGAGCAGCAAGCAGGTGAGCTGGCGCACTCGGGTCCTGGTGGTATCCGACTGGACCCGGAGGTTCATATTCGGGAGGGACTCGAGCCGGATCTAGGCGCTCTGATTCCAGGATGCAATGCAGCAAAACCTCTCTGTACAGTATTTGATTGGGCAAATAAGGAAGCAAGGCTGTCTGTCTGTTGATTGTTCCTTTCTGTCCTCCCAACGGAGCCATCATCCTTCGTGTGCTGCATGTGAATATGTGATGGGGTTCTCTTCTCTTCTCTGGATGTGGTTGGTTGTGAATCTGAAGCGTACCTGGCGCGATGAACTGACCGAGTGCCCACAGTTCACGCGCGAAACTGCGGTCAGGACAAATGGTTTGTCCAACTTGTCGATAAATGTGCAAAATGCGTGTGAATTTGGTGTACATGGCTCTGTTTTTTCTCTTCTTATTTTGAACTGGCTCTGCTGGTTTTCTTTCCATGTTTATTTCATTGTTAGTGGACCTCCTCACATCTTGTGAAGATAATTATGAAGAACAATGTTGGTTATTCTCTCCATTAACATCGTTGATGTGTATGCAACGTCAGCCACAGTGGTTTGTTTGGTAACAGTAGTCAGTGATGGTTCACGCTGGAAGAAAACCGCCAAATAAGCACTAGTTGCGACTTTGGCCATAGTGAGCAGCAGCAGCAGCAGTAATAAGTTGATACAGTACTGTACATGATCACATGGCCATCTCTACGGGTATACGTGAGAACGTACGTGCTCACATGGTGATTGCTGCTTGTACGTGTACTGTATTTGTCTGGTCCTCCTCCTGGCCAGACGGATACGAGTAGACGGTGGCTCAGTACAGCGTACTTTGTACCACACGTAGGGCGGGCGTCAGTGAATGATCCATCTCCTACGTATGTACAGGCCCTTTCAGGGTAGAACCTACCACTGCCAGAGAGTGGGGCCCAGTACAACCAATATTTGCCATGCACTTACAAAAGTAAATAAACAATGTTTGAATTTTTGCCCGAATTCAAGTGTCACTGGGTTTTTGGCCGGAAAGAGGACGCATTTGCCTTGGGGGTTAACCCAAATTTCTAAAATGCTGGGCCCTCTCCTATTAGTGAGATTAGGTATGACAGCTGCGATCCCAATGCACTAAACGTATACCTATCTGCAATAATTAGTGGTTGTCCCCCGACCTTTTCAGATTTCATCAAAGAAGAAGAAAAGAGCATTTCGAGAAGAACATGTAGGCCTCCCACCCCAACCCTTTCCGAAAAGAATGTCTAGTCCAGGCTTGAGGTGTGAGGTTCAAGACACACCTGATAGATAGTTAGATACACACTACAATTATTTGTCTATGAACCTGCCGAGTTGCTTTGTTTTGCGGCATGTCCTAGCCCATACATAGCACAAGTCCTTAGCAGAATTAAAGAACCAACATGTTGGTGGTGCTGCTTTTAGCAAAACACTCATTGCTTCGATTAACAATTCTCTGACCAGAACACTTTTTTTTAGAATCAGCCAAAAGCTTCATTCGTCCAGTGCAGGATTACAGTCCTTCTGATTACAGTGTTGGATACATTCCGGCACCTGGCTATCCTAGGCACACTCCGGATTATTACAAGAAGCCAGTTTAGCTAATTTATGGGCAGTTTCATTTGCTTCCCTTTTAACATGACGAACATCAAAGTAGTTGCAACTTTCCGTTAGCTCCTGGATTTGTTTTATAATGGCAAGTATTTTAGACCGCTGATGTTTCATCCTCCAAAGTGAAGTGAACTCCATCGAATCTGTTTCCAGTATGGCTTGCTTTATGCCCCAGGTTTTCATCAGTTGTACTCCATCTCTGCAAGCAAGTGCCTCGGCTGTCAGTATATCAGGAACAAAATCATGTCATATGCTACTTGCTGCAACTATATGCCCCTGATCGTCTCTTATAATAACTCCAGATATTCCATTCATATCATCTGCATTATAAGATGCATCAACATTAAATTTATAACATCCTTGATGTGGTCGTTGCCAATGAGCTTGTGATTTTACTTTACTACATGATCTGGCTGCTGTAGCAATTTGAATAAGATCCGCAGTAGTATCATATGCCCATCTACATGCTTGAGTTAAATTAGTTGATGATTCACCATGTAAGCGAGCATTACGTGCATTCCACACCGACCACATACCACATAAGATGTAGGTGGACTTTTCATCATCACAAATGGATGAATCCAAGATATCTAGAGGCTGTTTGGTTCACACCCGAGAGCTGCTGCGCCAAATTATTGGCGTTGACCAGGTGCGTTGGCTAGTGTTTGGATGGACGTCATTTTTTTGGAAGTACGCCAATTTTTTGGCTCCCGTTCAGGTTTCTACGCCAACTCTGGGCGAGACGGGGGCGGCGAATTTGTCTGCCAAATATTTGGCGAGCCCCGAATTGGTAAGGTTGGCGTGGGCGCAAGCCAAACAGCCCCTTATGGCCCAGGTTAAAGGATGTAATTTGGGGATAACCATGTAATTCTCTAACCAGAATATTTAGTAACCTCCTGGTTTCCCCTACTAGCTAAGGGTGGAACTTCCTTAGTGCCAAAGGGGGGCATATGCCCCCCTCCATGTAAAAATTGCTTAACGTGTCACACATGGGAATAGATATTTGACATGTCACGTTATATTTTTCCATGAAAATTCAAAAGATAGTTGAATGAAACCAAGAATTGGAAGGGTAGGAGTGAAAGATTTAAACTAGAAACTACAAGTAAGCGAAAATAATGCTTTTTGTAGCAATGGTTATAACATTGTAAATTCTAGTGATCTAATGCATCCTTTCATGCTCAACTCCATATTATATTTACAAATATCAAGAGTACTCATTGCCAAACATTTGCATGGGACATGCGGGGACCATCCTGAAGGCTTTAGCTGCAAAGATTGCACTCATGGATACAACAAAAGGGACACGTGTGACATCTACTAAGGGACACAACCTAATTATGTGGTAAGTCATCATTGAGCTTAACTACTTCAATAGCATTCACGGTTTGGAAAATTCGAAATTCTTCATATTGCATGCATAAGTATTGCAATTGGATTTCGTATTGGTGCCATAATTCTTGCATTATGTGCAAATATACTCATCAATAGTTAGAAGAGAGGCATATAAAATCGAGTGCATACTTAAAGAAAAATTAAGGCTTGCTCTTGGACAACTAATGTTCGATGAAAGTGCTACACATGAAATAAATATAATATTGGTGAAGGAATCGGAAAACGAAACCAACAATTTTGATGTCGGATGTATTCTTGTCCACTGAGGACATGGCACAATTTATAAGGGGATTGTGTATGATCAATATGTGTCGGAAATTAAAATGTCAAAACTAGTAAAGAAAACTAACATGGACCATTTATCAATGAGGTTGCCATGCTATCATAAATCATTCACCACAATGTTGTGAAGCTTTTTGGTTGTTGTTTGGAAATAGAGGTGCCGCTGTTGGCTACGAGTTCATATAATAGAACTCTAGATTAGTGGTGGGGCTTGATGAAGAATGTTGAGGTGGGCCAAGGAGACTTATGCTTGAAGTTTGAGTAATATTTGATATTTAAGCTCAACAATTAAGGACATCTTACGCATATGGAGGAGGGGGGCATTGGTCCCCTTGCATGTTAAGTGTTGTTTCCATATATGGTACCTACATATTGCATATTATTCAGTGAGTATAGCCATCCCCTAGTTTTTTCTCCACAACTACGTCATGTTGGGTGCTCTGATTGTTCTTCTATACTTATCGTGTTGTTCCTCGCTGGGTAAGGCCATGCGCAAGAATCCATCAGTAAAATGAAATGGTAGAATGGGTTCAACGCCCTACCCTGACCCTTTGCTGCCTACTGGCCATGGTAATGAAATCCATCAGTGTAGTGTTTTTGTTCGTTAAGGATGCCTTTGTTACAACTATGTTTGTCGTAACGTATATTTACAACAATTTTTTGGCTTCAAAGCCTTTGTTCTCTCGATTTGGTTTTTGAAAAGTCTTCTCATTAAGTATATGTCCAAACAAAACGATAATGCTAGATTGTCCGCTTTGTAACGTGGTTTCAAGGTAAGACATCGAAATCAAAACTGACGCAAATTGGCCTCAGGCCAAGCTGGCGGCCACATATGTTTCTGCAAGGATGGTTGTATCAGATGGAGCCAGGCAGTCCATCGTCCGCTATCTGGCGGATAGTGGAGCCACACTTCGCAATGGAAAGACCTTGATGGCATCCCAATATTCACATTTATTGTGGGCGTGTGAGAGAGGGGGTGTTTACGAGGTATTCCCTTGATTCAAAAATTCATGGTTTTTTGGATATTGATATGGTCTTCAATATTATTTTTGACCACTAATTTCCACAAACACACGCATACACACACTAGTGCTATCTAAGCTAGGGTGTACTATATTTATTCTACACCCCTAGTAAATTTATATTAAATGCAGTAAAGTTGTGTACAAAAAGTAGTAGTTTTGGAATGATTTATTTACTATCCAAATTGTGTACAAAAAGTTTTCTCTCCAATGTAGTAAATTTGTGTATCTAGCTCTGTCGGAAAACCCAGTACCTAGGAGGCGCATAGGCACGCTTAGGCGCTAGCCAATGACCAAACGCCTCGGCTAGGGCATTAACGAAGCTCTAGGAAGGAGAAGCAAAAAAAAATTGCCCGTTGAAATGTGAAATCGTGCTTTATTGCACAAATATGCCAAAAGGGTCATATTTCAATGGCAGTACTTGGTAGTTTACTCACTTATTTGCTCTAAGTTAATATAGGTACACATATAAAACCCTAAAACACCCTGCTATCCAAATTATATGTCCGCCTAGGATGTGCCTAGGGGGCTTAAGTGCCATCTAGACGCTAGGCGAAGGCCAACCGCCTCGTTTACGCCTAGCGTTTTTTTTCCAACCTTGGTATCTAGTAAAGAATAATGTAGAAAATTTGTGGCTTGGCTAGTAAAAAAGGTTATTCCAAAATTACTACTTTTGTACACAACTTTAATATATTTTGTGAAAATATACTATGCGTGTAGAATAACTATTCTACACTATAGATTAGAATAACACAAGAAAGTT